TTTGGAGTATAATACCTCGGAGTATAATATCTCGGATTATATACTGAACTCTGACGCAATTTCACCAATAAAAATTATACACTGCCAATTTACCATGTAGAGAATGCGCGTATACACACGACATCCATACTCGCTTATCTATCAGTGACAATCAAACGTGTCTGGACATGCAACCATTGATCATGTAGCATAGAGAAATGATGTTTTTGATGAAAGATCGGATCAATTTGTTCACCTGACATTGATGCACAACACTAGTATTTATATTTAAAATTAATGATCTACTTCTAATATAGATTAAAAGAGTGTCGTATTCTTTCACACACACCGTAATCGGCATTAATATGATATTGGTTTTTTACATAGGTAAAACGAATTGGATACAACAAAATTTTATCCGAGATTATGATTGAAAATAAAAATTTTGCTTTTATGTCTGTGTATGACATTCTTGTTAGACATGATTTTGTAATAACAAAAAAATTATTCAATAAAAATCATGCACTAATACACGGAAGTTCCAATATAACGAATGCATATTTCGCGATAGTTTATCTTCATTTTGTGTTAGGTTTTAGTCAGGTTTCGAAATATTAAAAAACAATGTCATACATTATATAATTATCACAGGATTACTGCGCAACTCAAAAATTGGAACAATCTCGATTTTTCGGTTTTGTTATTCTTTCATCTTCATATCATTTTTTAAATTCAGAAAAAAGTCCAAACTGCATGATAATCGAATAACTCTAAGTGGATTTTTTATGTAATGCTTTTCAAGTTCAATCAGTTTTTTTCTTCATTCCATCGAAACGTGATCAAAGGCAGAATAATGAATAAAAAGGAGAGAAAATCTCTATTTTTTTTTACTTTTTCCATCATTGTGCTTCGTTCATCAACGTTTCTTCTGTCTCACGTCTATATCTTTCTATTTCTCCTATTATTTTATTATTGCTCTTTAATCATATTTGATATTAATCTTTACCAATAATTTAGCATCATTCTCACAATCAAATTGTTTCTTTTCTCCTTTCTTTTCCACAAGCACGCATTTCTTTTCTATCACATTAATCTTCCATGTATTTCAGAACTCGTCAAAGACTAATGAATTACATTCATTGACTGCATAACATACGACTCGAATCAATTAGATTCACTCAAATACTTCTCTAGTATTTGCATTTTAGACAAAATTAACTAATACACGATATATTGCAACTGTTTATTTCGATAATTTCAATAATAATTTGTTGTTTATGAATTACAAAATATTATATATCTAACAATATAAATAATATAAATAATGTAAAATACTTGTTATTAATATTGTGTAATTATGATATATGTGTGTTTAAATAGAATCAGATAAATTTTTCAGATTTCAGCAAGCAGGTATGAATTGAATTGATTAAAATCTAAGATATTTTAATATATATTAAATATATATATATATATATATATATATATTATATATATATAATAGTACAATATATATATATATATATATATATATATAGTATATATAATAAATATATA